AAAAAACTAAGTTGACTTTAAAAAAAAGAAAAAAAAAAGAAAAAAGGAACCCTTGCCCTTATGTTCAAATAAATAATTTAAACATATTTAGAAATAGAAAGTTATTTAAAACTTAAAGTTTAACCTAAACCTTAATATTATAATAACTGGACCAAACCATGGTATGTTTCATCAATTTCTTGATTGGAGTGGTCAACTCTGTCTGAATTTAAAAACTATGATTACTATAGGCTTGTCTATCAACTTGGTTCTCCAAATATTTACTATTGGGCATGTTTGGCCAAGTCCACAATGGAAGTAAGTTGGCTTAAAATTAACTTTTACCAAGTGTAGCCATATGTGTTTGTTGCACTCTCCTTCATACATGTTAGGCTTTTCTTCACAAGTTACCTCTCTATTTTTTTATTTTTTTTTCAAATTTAATTTTTGTACAATAACTTGCTACTTTAAAAGCATTATCTCCCATACCTCTTAATAAAGTCAGTTTGCTTATTTATTAGGTCTAACCAGACATTTATTTGTAATATTAGTCGCAAACAATATAGATCCCGTAGCTAAAAATGTTAATAAAAATTTAAATCAAAGTCAATAATTAATTTTAATCACACATTTCGTCGAACCCAAAATTTTTATCAATTTTTCAGTTACACAATTCACCACCTTTTATCAAAATCTATTAAAAACCTGATTTTAGCTAAGGTAAAAGAGCATAAAAGTCAACGAAATAAGATATGTGGCCAAACAGGTTTCTTTCAAACTCTAATCAACTATGAAGCATAAGTCCTATATATAAGTGTCAAATAGCATGAATTGAAGTGGATGAAAATTAAGAAGAGGCATGAAGGGTCCTCAAGAACCTCGTTCAGGCTCTTCCTGTGCAGCCTGCAAGTTGTTGAAGCGAAGGTGCACTCCTACGTGTCAATTTGCACCCTATTTCCGGTCCGACGAACCGAATAAATTCGCAAAAGTACACAAGGTGTTTGGAGCAAGCAACGTGAGCAAAATCCTAAACGAGGTGCCGGAGGAGCAACGAGAAGATGCCGTGAGTTCGCTCGTTTACGAGGCGGACGTGCGGCTTATGGACCCGGTTTACGGTTGCATTGGGGCTATAGCTTCGTTGCAGAAGAAGATGGTAGAGCTTCAACATGATCTGATTATAGCTAGAGCTCGACTTGCCTATTATGTTGATCAGACTGTTTTGTTTTCTGATGATGGAGTCAATATGTGCCCTGTGACTGACATGGTAGAGGACTTCAGTGGCCAGGATTTCTTGTCCTTCCATCAGTTTAGCCAATTCCCATTTCCATGATCTCTCACTCACTCCCTCTGTGTTTATGATTTCTTGAAATCTTGAATTAATGGCTGAAATGTTGAGGTATCTCTGTTCACTTACTGGTTCGTTGTGCATAAGTTAATATTGTAGTTGTAGCTCTTATAAGTTAAAATCCCGTGTTATCTAATAAGGATTTGTTCTACTCATCAAACGAAATTGATATTTTAAGATGAAAGAGAGACTCAATAGCAATTACCTTTTAGTTTTTTCACTACGAAAATTTAGAATTTTTCATCGACGACAGTCGAAGTGTTTCGACGAAATTCTTGAGCATCTATTGGATCCGTTTGATCACTTTAACGAAATTAATTATTAATTTCTGGTGACGCGTCCCCTCACAACTCAAGCACTGCCCGACGAGGGGGACGGGGGCAATGAATTATGCCAAGAAATAGTAATAATAATGAATAATACTATTTATCATTATGATGATGGAACATCGATGATGTGATAGTTTATGTAGAATAATGAGATTTGACAAATCAATTTTTATGAGAGAGAAGGGAAGGAGAAATGAGGAATAATGGATTATCACATTACCGATGTTCCATTATCACGACGATAAATAGCATTTCTCGATAATAATACAAGAATTGTTGACATAGGTTTGGGTACATTGTAAGACCTTGATATTTTTAATAAAGAATACTGAGGGATTCTCAATAACTTCGTCAATTATTCAATATCCTAACGAACCAAAAAAAAAATTTGAAGAACTTTTCATATTTTTTCATACATCAGCACATCATTTCTTTTTAACAAATAAGAATACAAAAACATATTTTTAACATTTCAGCACATTACTTTTGCTACTAGACTGCTATTAAAACAGTTTATATTCATGTTTAAAACCCGATTCACGATCGAAAAAAAAAAGAAAGAAAAAAAAAGCATTCTTAATTAACAACCTCATTTCGTGAA